AGGGGGCCCCCAGGGGCCCCGGGGGCCCCCCTTGACACTTTCTTACGAATGGCCCCGACGGCTGCAGCACAGTTTGTCGGGTTTATTTGTTTTGTGTCTTTGTCTCTTTTGTCCCTTTCTTGTTGCTGCAGGAGTTATTGTCTTTTGTGAGTTTTTAATCATTTTATTCTTTAATTAATTCTTTTATTTGTTCTTTTATTTGGTTAATTCTTTTTATTCATTTAATTGTTTTATTTGTTCATTTGTTTTGTTCGTTTTAGTCTGTTTGGAATTCTTTTGCTTTTGGCCTTTTTTGCTGCACTTGGGTCCTGCTGCTGCTGCTGCTGCTGCTGTGTCTTTTGAGTCTCCTTTGGCCTCTTTTCCTCTTTGCTGCTTCCTCTGCCTTTTCGTGCTGCTGCTGCTGCTGCTGCTGCTTGTATCTTGTTCATGTCTGTCTCTCCAGTCTCTTTTTATCTTTGCTGCTTGCTCTGCCTTTTCTTGCTGCTGCTGCTGCTGCTGCTTATATCTTGTTTAAGTCTATCTTTCAAGTCTCCTTGTGTCTTTGCTGCTTCCTCTACTGGCTCTCTTGCTGCTGCATGTGTCTCCTCTGCTGCTGCTTGTACCTGTGCCATATCACAGCAGCAGCAGCAGCAGCTGCTGCTGCTGCTGTCACCACTGTCTCTGCTGCTGCTGCTGCTCCCACTACCCCTGCTGCTGCTGCTGGTCCCACTGCCCCTGCTGCTGCTGCTCCCACTGCCCCTGCTGCTGCTGCTCCCACTGCCCCTGCTGCTGCTCCCACCGCCCCGCTGCTGCTGCTGCTGCTGCTGCTGCCGCTGCTGCTGCTGCTGAAGCGCGTTGCTGCGTGTGGGTGTGCGCAGGCCTGAGCTTTTTGCTGCTTGTGGGGTTTCTGCGGGTGCGGTGGGCGGGCTTCAACGCGGTGTACGTACAGCTGCTGTCTTGGATGCTGCGGGAAAAAGAAAAAAGTGCTGCTGTTGCTGCAACAGCAGTTTCTTTTTTGTGGGGTTGTCTTTTCGTGCTGCTGCTGAGTCCCCGCAGCGCAGCAGCAGTGTGCATCTTGCTGCTCTCCATCGGCGACCCTGCTGCTGGCGTCGCCCGCAGCAGCTGCCGCAGACGTAGGGCTGCTGCTGCTGCTGCTGCTGCTTCTGCTGCCGTTGTTGCAGCCGCGGGCTGCTGCTGCTGCTGCTGCTGCTGCAGTCGCTGCTCAGCTGGCGGGCCTTAGCAACCACCAGGAGCAGCAGCAGCAGCAGCAGCAACAGCAGCAACTGCAGCAGCAAAGGGAGAAATCTTTGGGGACTTTTAGACGCTGCGGAGCCATTAAAAGCATTAAATTGGGGTGTACAGACAGCAGAGTAAAAAAGTCGAGTTTCTTTCAAACGCAAAGTCGGGTGTATACGCAGCTTGGTCTGCTCCTTACGGAGCAGCTAGCTGGCTAGCTAGCCAGCTGGCTAGCCAGCTAGCTAGCTAGCCAGATAGCTAGCCAATTAGCTCCTAGCTAGCCTTTTAGCTAGCTAGCTTTTCAGCTAGCTAGCTTTTTGGCTCGCTAGCTAGCTAGCCAACTGCCCAGCTAGCTGGTTAGCTAGCTGGCTAGCCAGTTAGCTGGCTAGCTAACTAGCCAACCATTTGGCTAGATGGCTAGCTAGCTAATGAGCTAGCTGCTTGTTGGCCGGCGGCCGGCCAGCTATACAGCTCCCCAAAAGCCAGCTAGCCAGCTAGCTAGCCAGCAACCCAGCTAGCTAGCTAGCTAGCCAGCCAGCCATCCAGCTGGAGATCCAGCTAGCTACGTAGCTAGCCAGTTAGCTAGCTAGCCAGCCATCCAGCTAGCTACCCAGCCACCCACCCAGCTAGCCTCCCAGCTAGCCAGTCACCCACCCAGCTAGCTAGCCACCCACCCAGCTAGCTAGCTAGCCACCCAGCTAGGTAGCTAGCTGGCTAGCTACCTAGCTAGCCACCCAGCTAGCTAGCCAGCCAGCTAGCTAGCCAGCTAGCTAGCCAGCTAGCTGTTCAGTTCTCCCTCCACCTGAACCTGCACTGCGTGCATGCGTAGAAAGTCGTCATGGGCTCGTCCGAAGAGCGAATTTGAATTTGGTAAAAAAAGGCTTCGTGGTGGCTGCAGCTGGGGCACACAGCTGTACATACACCCCACACCCCACACGC